CCCTTACTAGTTCATTTAGTCTACTTCCACGTAAAGCACCATCTTTATGCTGTGACTCTCAAATCTCTATCTCCAGATAAGTTCTCTTTCTTGGGTTCCAGAACCTACATGTTCAACTCTCTACTGAATATATCCATTTAGATACTGAGCTTTTCTTTCTCCCATCTGTTCCTCCAATGTTCTTGGTAGCATCACCACAAGCCCAAGATACAAGCCAAAATCCTGGGCATCAATTCTCATTCTCCCTGTCTTCATCATTCCGTAAATCCAGTCAATCACCAAGCCCCATGATTTTGCTTTCAAAATAGTTTTCAAATTGGTCCGTTTTTGTTAGACACCATTATCACTGGTTTGGTTCAAGACACTACCTATTGCTCAATGAAATACTGAAATAACTTCCTAAGTAGGGCTCTTACCAGTGCCCTTAATACAGCTGCAAAAGAAACCAGAAATGGGCTTTTATATCAGCTTCCTAAAATTATGCTCAGTTTTCTATTAGATATTTGGCTGATTAAAGATACTTTTCCTACTCCTGAAAGCTTATATTCTAGGCACACATGATGAAATATATACAAAGAAAAACAATTAGAATGTCCAAAAGTGATTACATATCATTTCATTAATGCAAATATGAGTGGATAAAAATGAATGAAAAACGATGACCATTAAAGAAGCCTCCAAATGTACGCTCAACAAGAAGCCATTCAGAGAATCACATTTCTTATATTCAAAACCAAATGTTTAACTTGAAGCCCTGATACTGTTAACTAAGAGTGAGATTCTATCAGTTGATCTTTTCCTTAACCTTTTGAAAAACCTAATTATTTAAGATTGCTATTTTTCATATTTTTACACCTAAAAGGCCTTAGTATAAGTGAAGACAAATTTAAGGTAAAAAACATTACAGCCCACTTGAAAGACAAAGAAAAAGTTATTCTGAGGTATTAAAAGTGAAAGAGAGAGAGAGAGAGGAAAAATAGGTTACAACACCTGGATAAGATGTTCAGCTCTGAGTTTTCTGGCAACTAAGGCAAAAAGGAAACACATTAAATTACATAGCTTTCACTTTCTGAAAAAAAGAAAGAAGGATATAACTTCAGCTACAGAAGCAGAAATTTTCCTGGGACTAGTGCAAGCAATAATTCATCATGAGACTTTTGTCTAAATAGTACTAAGGAGAAATATCATAAGCTTTTGTTTCAGGGAAAAAAATAAAGTCTTGACAGGAAGTATGCAATCCTGGTTGAGTTACTTAACTCTTATCAATATCAGCTTCATCTGTACAAGTAGGGACCATGATATTTATCTCAGTGGACAGCAGACTAAATTATGTAATATAAATGGAAATACTCAGTAGACTGCCTTAAACAATTTCTTGTAACAAAGAGAAATGACACCAGATTTTGTTCTGATCTAGAAGGGCAGAAGTCACGACAGGAAGTTGTGCCTTCACGGAAGGAATTTTGTGAGGAGGGGTATTTTGCTTCCTCCTCCACATTCTACTTTATGAAGGTTTCACTAAATTCAGGGACAGAACTTGGAGAATTTAGACTGGAGAAGTGTAGACAGGTATGCGATCTCCATTCAATTTATGATCACATCTTCAGATAGTAATTGTGGTGCAGACCCTTTAACCTACTATATTCACCCATCCCAACGGAGCTATGTTGTTTGAAACAGCAACCTAAAAAATGCTATTTTTCTCCGTACTTACTATCTCCTCACATTTTTTAAATTATTAGATTAATACATCTTCTCTAAAGAAAGTTGAGAATAAAAACCATCTAACACACATTCCAAATACACACAACCATTTGAATGTATAAATGCTAAAAATTTACAGCCTAAGAGGCCAATATTGATCTTATCATTTCTAGAAATCCTTCAGGCCACAGCTGAACTCCTAACATGAGAGGTGTTTTAAGCTAACAATTTTGAGCTAACACCAATATGGAAAATAAGAACCTTCTGTGGCCACACCTCAAATATCCTAGGATTGTCAACCTAGAATTATCCCATTCATTTCTTTTTTCATTTAACTCATATTGATAACTATGTGAAGGAGGTGGGGATCACATTTCATATGATATGTCCATACAGAGTCTTATCAGAACTGACATCGCTTAAACAGTTCAAGCTAGAGTTGTCCAGTGCAAAAAACAAAATGAGATTTTCATTTTCATTTAAATGTGCATTTGGTCTGCTTACACATCACTGTTTCTTTTTTTGTTCATTTGGTTTCTTTATGAATCACTAATTGTTTTTCTTTAAGATAAGAGTTGAAATTTTATTGATGAATCACTAATTTATACTGAGAACACTGGGCTGATTAAAACAATGAGTCAGTCATCCGAGATGATTTTCACAGGGTCCTGACCAGGGAGAGGAAAGCTCTCAGGGGCCACTGAGATGGGAAACCTCCTAGACTTTGTGCCTTTGGTGCCTTGCTGCCCTCACCTTAGTCTCAGCCTTGATTTGCACTTCAAAAAATTTTTATTTATCAGAGTTATTCTTATTCAATTGTTATCTATTGGCTCTTCTGGGCACTTCACCCTCAGAGCCATAAAATGAATATATCAATCTTGCAGACTGCTTCACCAGGTCAATGTTCCAGTGAAAGGTCAAGGATCTTGCTGGGTCACTGGATGTCATCTTTCCTTTTCCATAGAAGCAGTCTGTACTTGCTTCTGCGTCTGCGCATATCACGCAAGTTGGTACTGAAATGTTTCCTAGAAAAGCTTAAAGACTAGTATTAGATTTGGGTCACTGAACTTTAATTTTTACTTTGAAAATTTAATTTTCTTGCAGCTTTTTAGAAAAAAAAAAGAAGTAATTGGTATGACTGAATGGACACCTGTCATTAGATCTCTTACATATTCAATTTTAAAAACATTTGTGAAGATCCACACCATGAATGAACCAGGCTTCCACAGAGAAGAAATGATTACTCGAAGGCAGAATCCTAGGACACAGGTGTTAGTAGATAAGGCCTGGAATGTTGAAAGTCAGAAAAAAGAACAAATATCTTCAGAGATCTACTTATCTATCTCATCTCTAAAATCTAGCTCAGGGCATCTTATCCCTTTCAATCATCAGATAAAACACACCTTTAAGAGAACTCACTCCAACAGCCATTTCTAAGATAGAGACACTCCCCAATTCCCCTGACACCATTTTTAGGATATGCACCTTTGAAATGCTTCCAGTAACATTCCCTAATTCATCTCTTTCAATAACATCCTTCCAATAATTTCTTACCAAATACTAGGTATGTATCTTTCCCAGACTAGGAAACAGTGTCTTCAGGATACTCGTAAACCAGTGATCTGTTTTGAGCATTTCTTTCTTCCATTAGGACAGCAAAAATGTTAAAAACAAAACTAAGACAAGGCAGTGACTGTACAGTGGAAAAAATTCGTTGGATTAAAAAAATGAGGCTTCACGACACCAACCAACTGCTGGCGAGGACGTGGAGCACTCTCATTTACTGCTAATGGGGACGCAAAAGGTACAGTCACTTTGGCAGTTTCTTATAAAGTTAAACATATACTTTCCATACGACCCAGCAGTCCTGCTCTGAAGTATTTACCAAGAGAAATGGAAACTTACACTTACACAAAAACAGATACACAATTGTTTACAGCAGCTTTATTTATAGGTGCTCCCAACTGGAAACAACTCAAATGTCCATCAACTGGTGAATGGATTAACAAATGCTGGTACACCCATACAATGGAAAGTTACTCAGCAACAAAAGGAACAAATTATTATTTGCAACAACATGGATGAATTTTTTTAATGATAAGTATAAAAACCAAGGCTGAAAAGACTGATAATTTTATGTATATGATATTCTGTGAAAGGCTAATTCCTTTTGTTGGAAAAGGCACAACTGTAGGGAGACAAGACAGATTAGTGGTTGCTCAGACTGGAGTCGGGGAAAAAGGTCACTACAAAGAGGTCAAGAGGGAATTTTCTGGGGTGATGGAACTATTTTGTATACTGATTGTGGTGATGGTTACACAACTGTGTGCATTAGTCAAAAATCATAGACATGTATTCTAGGAAGGGTGAATTTTACTGTATGTGTATTATATCTCAATAAGTCTGACTGAAGAAAATGAGAAAAAAAGGAGTGGGTATAGTTCCATGGTAGAGGATATGTTTAGCACGCATGAGGTCCTGGGTTCAATCCTGGGTTCAACCTCCATTAGAAAAAAAAAAATCACACACAAAAAAAGAAAGAAAATGAGAAAAAGCAAACCTGGGGTTGTCTCTTAGTTATGACTGTCTCTGGGCAAGCCACTTAAAATTCATTTCTCCTTTTATAAAACAGGGATTATATTAACTCTAAAAGAGTTTTGGTGAGAAACAAACAAACAAAAAACTTTGATGAACTTTAAAGTTCAAAATAAATATTTACACTAGGCACTGGCCATACACGTGATGAATAAGACAGAGGCACACTAAAGAAATTTACTGTCCAGTGGGAAAAAGAGATAAAACAGGTAATTATTAAATTAGGTGGAAATTCAATGACAGGATATGAATAAGGTAATAAGGGGCCAATACAAAGGGGCATGCCAGGAATAAGAATTAACTCATAAAGGGGGGAGCGTATAGCTCAGTGGTGGAGTGAGCTGCTTGGCATGCATGAGGTCCTGGGTTCAATCCTCAGTACCTCCATTAAATAAATAAATAAACCTAATTACCTTCCCCCTAAAAGTAAAACAGAAAAAGAAAAAACAAACAAACAAAAAATACCTAAGGGAAAAATTAAAGAGCTAAAAAGTGTCTGTACCATCATAAAGAATAAAGTATAAATTAATTCACAAAGAATAAAGTGTACCATAAGTTGACTATAAAGGACCCAATTACAGTGAGAAGCAAACAAGAGAAGTCATGAATGAACATGGATAATTTGGATCCAATAATCTTAACCCAACATGATTTTGAAGAAGCCTAAAGTGGTAAAAATTATGACAAAAAGGAAAAAGTACCTCACGATGATTTAGAAGTTGTTCCAAATCTAATGCCATTTGATTCTTCATCTGCTGTAAAGCTGACTTTTCTTTATTTAAATTGCTGGGGGAAAAAAACACACCAAGTTTTAAAGAGCTGTCGTATTAGAGTAAATTTAATTAACAAGTAATAAATAGCAAAAGACTAAAGACAAATCTGATGGTTTGAATTACAGAGAAATTAAATTTACAGTTCATAAAGATATCCGATCAGTGACTGCAACGTTTGATTTAACCAATGGCCTAGCTATTTTATAAGACTATTTTTTTTTAAAATAACCATTTAACAATGCAACTGAGATGCTTTCTAAGAATATTTTTCTGCCTACTAGGGGCATAAAATTAGTGTTTTAAAGATGACTGGTTACTCCTGAAATGTAAAAAGAGGAAACAGGACTTATATAAAAGGTAAAAAAAAAGTATGTATCAGCACAATATTAAAATTTGAGACACTGAAAGTCAAATTAAAACATTTATCCTTAAACTGAAAGTCTGGAGGGGAGGGTACAGCTCAGTGTTAGAGTGCGTGCTTAGCATACATGGAGTCCTGGGTTCAATCTCCAGTGACTCTGCTGAAAAAATAATAATAAAATAAATTTAAAAAAACCCAATTACCCCCTTCAAAAATAAACAAAAATAAAAAAAAAAAAGAATATTAACAAAACCTGAAGGTAGTATTTCATGATTTACCATATACTAAATTACCAGGTATATAGCTGAGTTAGATAAATGAATTGGATATTTAATCTATGGTAAACTTGGGAAAACAATTTTTGTCCTTAAATTCTTAGGTCAATCTTCGATTTCTAAGTCTACACTGTGAATTTCTCTTTGATAGGATCTATTTCCTGATAGGAAAGGGTGTAAGGGTGTATTAATATTTTAAAAGATAAACATTTGAGGCCTGCCTTATACTGCCTGGAGTTTTATTATTCAACATATAAAAACTAATTAAAACCATTAAATGAAATATTCTCTGAAAGCCAACGGAATGAGTCTACTCAGCCAGCACTACAGTAAGGATTAAGAAAAGCAGCAATGAATTGAAGCAACATAATTCCTTAAATGTCAAAATAAAATCTGTGAAGGTAAAATTAATGAGAATTGTTTTGCCAAATAGGCAACACATTTTAAGTTATGCTTTAAGAAAATGGAACACCACCAGTTTTTAAAATATTAGGGAGAAGATTTTTTTTAAACTCAAGGAATAGCAGTAGAAGTCCTGGAAGACCTGGGAATTCCAAGGACTTAAGCAGAAAAACTCACATTCTCCTCCTTCCTAGTAACTGAGAATTTCCCCAAGGAAGTACCATAGTTTGTCCACTGAGAAGAAAGACTAGATGCAATTCTGATGTCTGATTCCAACTGGGCCACTGACTCAACTGTGTGGTATAAAGCACAACACACACCACCCTACTGAACCTCAGTTTTCACATCTGTAAAAGTGGAAAATAATACTCATAAATGTCAAAGGGGTATGTGAATTATCTAATGAATGACTCTATAAAGCACTGAACACATAAAACCCTACATAAAGGCTGTATAGTGTTACTAATTTAGATGAAAAACACTCATCAGAGGAAAACAGTAATTACATGTCAATAAAGGTAAGCTGCTCAGCAGAAAAACAAATTGACTTTTGGAGTTAGGCGTCAGAGATCCTACTGAGCTGAGGAGTTGAAAAGAACTAGATAATACAAAGGAAGCTGAGTGCCACGTCCTGCTTTAGTCCCCCAGAGCATGTAGAGATCAGGTTTTTCTGTAACTTTAAAAGTCTATCTTTAGCGAGAATCACACTGAAGACAAAATATTTCTCCAAATGAAAACAGATGTCCAGTAAATAGGAATAGGACTTTTTCAAGGAACAGGTGGGTGTTAATGTTCATATACATGTACAGACATACACACAGAATGTAAACATGCACTCACACGCAGTACACGAGTGAGTGAGCACACGCACATGCACACACACACAAACACACACACACACACAGAGGCTCTCAAATATCAGCAGGCACATTAAGTAAAGTGTAGAGTAACAGGAATGGAATGCTGATGTAATTAAAGGATTTTGACTGAATAATTCATTAGAAATGCTTTATATGTAATGTTTAATTTTTTTCAGAATAAACATTCCATATTTAAATAACAAAAATAACTGTATAACATGGAATAAAAGGTGGCCAGATGAACCCGGTTTACAAAGCACTCTATTCTATTTGCAAGACGTAGGCTCCACAGACAATACCTGGTATATATTTTTAAAGTCTCAGCCTTCCCTATGATAGATTCTTAAATCACAAAGGAAACCGCCTTCAACAAGTGGTCTCTAAAACTGAGTATGATCATTATTTTACGCTGTATTCTTCCAGTATGTATGAGATTACTCAATAGAAGTTTAGTCTCTCTAAGACATTTCATAACAGTGGAAATTTACCTTTAAAATACAAAGCTTCTATGCGTGACTCATAAAGCAACTACAAAACAAATCTCCTTATAAGCACATCCATCGTGAATGGTATATTACACCCATAATTGTTCAATTCAATGTTAATTATTACTCAGAAATTCATGTTTATGGCTCTGTTTCACCTGCTATATGAAAACATATTCCTGATATATTGTTCCTTAACTTCCTGGGTCAATATACTTTAGCTTAAGCCTTACAAGCCTAAGTAGTCTTTTTTTCCTAAACTACGAGTTAACAATAAACGGAGAACTGACAAAGGAGAAAGAAAATTTATGCTAATTATTCTCTTTCCATGCTTCCTTTAGTTCTGAATTATAGACCAAACTATATAACCCAGACCGCCTCTTGTGGATTGGTGCAGGAGAGTTAAAAGAACTATTTTTAGAACAGAGTATTACTTTAATGATATGGGAATTTAAATTGTTAATAGTGATATCTCAAATGTTAGCTTTTTACATGTTCGTAACGATTTCATTTTAGTGCATATTTCCTCTAACCTTTCTAGGCGTTGAATATGCTATATAAATAGCTAAACTGGCAAGTTGTGGGTGTGATACAGTGCTATTGTTTTATTTTGTAAGAAAATGATAAAATTATTCATTTCTTTAAGGAGCTTTCATTGTATAAGCTAGAGAAACATTTACAAATTAATCAGTTAATGTAAATATTCTTTACTATAAAAATCAATACCCAGCAAAAAGAAATAGGAATTTTCAAGGAACATAATCACTTAGTAATCTTTTTGGATGAGTCATCCAATGTTTAAATTTCAAATTAATGAAGGAAAGAGGAAGGGAGGTAACATTTACTGAGTTTCTCCCGTGTGCCAGAAGCTTTTTATTATATATGTTACATCATTTGATTTTCACAACTCTCCCTTGATGTTCACATTAATATCTACATTTTACAGACACATTTAGCTTGAGAAAAGAAACCAGGCTGATGTGTATTCAAAGCTCAGGATAATTCCACTCTATTTGAAATGCCATTGGCTCAGAGTCAGCGTAATGGCAGAAAGAAATGTGATCCCTCCTGCTGTATCTGATTTGTTGATTGGACTGTTTTTTATGGCATCACATCCTTTCATTCACGTCATCAGGGACATCTACAGCATCTCAAAAGCCATAATTAAAATACTGAAAGCATCTTAACTTTTTACTTTGGAAGGCAGTTGCTTCAATTAAGAGTAAGACTTCATATCCCACGAAATCTTGGTTCAAATCTACTACAGCTTTAAAGGTCTCAGATGTTTAGCACAAAATGCATATATATATACATATATTTGCAGTTAATTCCATAATTGGCATAGTTCTTGTCATTACTGTCGCTGTTAAGGGAGTCTCAATTTTTGTCAAAATTCAGCATATTTTGAGAAATGTTGTTTCTCATTTTAAAGATAATTTTCAATATAAGGGTGTTAAATGTAAGACAAATACTAAAATAGCATACATATGTAGAGTATTTATAATGTATAGGAATAGTGCTATATATATTATAAACATTGTATCATTTAATCCTCAGAATGACCATATGAATTAAGCACTGTTGATGCCACTCCCATTTCACAGATGAAAAAACAGGCTATAGAGTTCAACATCATAGCCATTGGCTAGCCACAAGCAATTAAAATTAAAATTAACTTAAATAAAATAAAAATTTTGGTTTGGTTTCTCAGTAACACTAACTGCATTTCAAATGCTCAACAGCCACATGTAGCTAGTGGCTACCATATTGGACAATGCAGTATGGAATATTTCTATCATTACAGAAAGTTGTATTGGACAATGAAAGTTTGGAGAGTTTAACTGACTTGCTCCAATTCAAAACTAAGGACTAAGCTGGATTTGAACCCATGCAGCCAATCTATGGAGCCTGCATTCCCCTTTAAAATTTGTTTTTTTGAAAGTGACTTTATTATGAAATATTTCAAGAGAGAAAATATATCAAGCCCCTATGTATCTGTCACCCAGCATCAAAAACTATCAACTCCTTAAAGCCCCACTATTAACCCACCATTCTACACTATTTTTTTTGCCTCTCTTCTTTAATTATATTAGCTAATGAAAAATTATCTCTTACTCAGATTAGAACATAGGGAGGCAGTATAACATAATGGTTAAGAGTATAGAATTAGAAAGCAGACAGATCTGGATTCAAATTTTGGCCCTATCACAAAACTGGATGCTCTGAGATTACAAGTTGCTTAATTTCTCTAGGGCTGTATTTGTCATTCATCATTACAACTTTCTCCTATAGCTGGTTATTATTTTTTTTATATTAAACATTTTCAGCTATCCTAATTCTTAGTAAAATAAAACTTCAAATAAATCTAATTGAAGCTAACTGTATAAGAGGTCATTTTTTTCTACAGCCCTTTTATGTATCCCCATTCCAAGATTACAAAGGTAAAACATGACTTTATATAAAATTTCAAATATGACAAATATATAATACAGAAAAAATTCTTTTGAAGAAAAATTTAGGGTTCTTTCTTCAATTTCCCTAAGATAACCAAGTGTCCAGTGAATGATATTACATGATTTCTATTGCCCACAACAGCTATTTATAGAACAACTGTTTAATTAATTCATTGAATTTATTAATGCTTGTTATGAATATTCTAAACATAATTTTAACTTTAAAAATCTAGAAATAAACTGTTATATATGTTGACATTTAAAGCATAGATGTTATTTCAAATTATTTTATCACATCAGAAAATGATGATCAGGAATATAGTTTTGGAGTAATTATTTTGGTGGGGTAGAAATGAAAGAGGATTATTATTCTCATTCATCAAAAAGAACACTCACACTTTGAAGTTAATTACCAGTAGTTTTGTATTTTTGGTTATGTATCTTAGGAAATCTGAATTTAATAGCTATCTTCTTCAATTGTATTTTCCAATAAACCACCTTTTCCAATTCCTTAATTTAACAATTTTCATTCCCATCTAATTCACTGCTTCTGCATTTATGAATCAGTTAATGATTTATCTAATAATTTATTCTAAATAATCTTAAAAACTAATAACAACTAAACCAACTACTCAAGCAACCATGAGTTAAAATCTCTTTCATTATGCAGCATCATTCTTTTACTGTAATTTAAAAAGACTAAAACGATTGTATAGATGAACAGATAAGGAATTTGAATGATTATTAAGTGGAGCAAGTGTTCTGGATAAAGCGTCATGAAAAAAACAATTTCAACGTAAGAAAGTGAAAGGAATTTCTTTACATTTAGGTAATTCATGGTTTACTTCATGTAAAGGGTCAGGCGAAGAAAAGCCTAAAAAATTCCTTGGCGAAGTCAACATGAATCTAAGTCAATGTGTACATTTTATTGTTTAAAAAGCCATTCTGACTCCACAAGCGGCCCATCCCACCAAAGAATTCTAGGGGAACAAGGCCAGGTTAGGAGAGCTGTTGTGTGCCCTGGGGTGGGTGGAGTGCTTTGTCAATCAGTGTAGCGTTGCTATTTCCAGGCTAAGACTTCTGATTTATCAGGTGGGATGTGAACATCTTAATCTGATGTGACTTTGTTTTTCTAAGAGAAATAAAATACTCATTACATTTAAGACCACCTTTGTTATTTCAGTTTTTTCTTCACAATTTACAGGCTGATTTCATCTACAGCAGTATTATGCTCACAATGCCTTTATTACTCAAATAAAAGATCTGTAGATGGTTTACCTGACATCCTTCTCAAGTTGTGTAATACACTCCTTCAGTGAATCAATCTTAGAATCTCTCTGACGCACAGATTCAATGAGATACCTGTAAGGTTGCTGAGTCTGGTTTAACAGAGAATTGGCCCTGTCAAGCTAAAGAAAAACAGATTTCATTAAAATCTGGACAATTTTACCAGGAACTAAAATTGTTCAAAATGCTCTAGCACAGATACAGTACATCAACTATCCCTTACATGAATTACTCTGAAAAGCTCCTCCTGCATAAATTTGAAGGTTTCAAAAATTATTAATCAATGTATTCTTTAAATAATGATAATAATAATAAAGAATATGTAATCAGAAAAGAAAAAAATAAATAAAATATTAATTGTTACTAATTTTGATGGTGGGTCATATACCCCCATTTATTGGTTTGTGACATAAAATTTATCTTCTTTTAATGAATACACATTAGCTAAACATGAAAATCCTTATTTGAGCTTTATTTCTACTCAAAATACTATAATCGCATTACAATTAAGTAATTTTCATGTTTTCATATTCACGCCCATCTTTATGTACTTCAATCACTATGTATAATTTAGGTACCTCAATAACTCTGAATAATTTATTTTAAAAACTTATGTTTAAAACATAAATAACATACAACTTACCATTTTAACCCCATTTTACAGTGTACAATTCAGTAGCACTAAGTATATTCATGATGTGTAATCATCATTAGTATCTATTTCCAGAACATTTCATCAACCCAAACAGAAACATATTAACTAAAAAAATACCCCATACTGCCCAGTTCCCAGAAACCTCTATTCTATCTGTCTCTATGAATTTACCTAGTCTAGATACCTTATGTAAGAGGAATCATAATGTATTTATCATTGTGTGTCTGCTTAATTCACTTAATATAAAGTTTTCAAGGTTCATCCATGTGGTACCATGTATCAGAAGTTCATTCTTTTTTCTGGCTAAATAATATTCCATTGTATGTTTATAGCATATTTTGTTTATTCATTCATCTGTTCTATAGATGGATAGTTGGGTTGTTTCTACTTTTTGGCTATTGTGACTAATGCTGTGGTGTATAAATATCTGTTTGACTCCCTGTTTTCAATTCCTTTGGGTATTTGCCTAGGAGTGGAGTGGAATTGCTGGGTCATATGGTAATTCTATATTTAACTTTTTGAAGGGCTGCCAACTGTTTTTCACAGTGGCTGTATCATTTTACATTCCTACCAGCAATGCACTTGGTTCCAATTTCTCCACATTCTTGCCAACACAGTTATTCCATGTGCCTTTCGGCCATTTGTATATCCTCTTCGGAGAAATGTCTACTCAGGTCTTTTCCCCGTATTTTAGTTAGGTTGTCCATTTTTTTTTTTTTTGCTGTTGAATTGTAAGAGTTCTCTCTATATTCTGGCTATTAAAACCTTATTAGATATATGATTTGCAAATCTTTTCTCCCATTCTGTAGTTTGTCTTTTCACTCTCTTGATACTGCCCTTTGATCACAAAAGTGTTTTATTTTGATGAAATCCAACTTACCTATTTTTCTTTTGTTGCCCATACTTTTGGTGTCATTTTTAAGAAACTACTGCCAAATCCAAGGCCATAAAGATTTTCTCCTATGTTTTCTTCTATGAGTTTTATATCTTTATTTCTGAAATTTACATCATTGATCCCTTCTGAGTTAATTTTTGTTTTCAGTATAAGATATGGACCCAATTTCAATCTTTTACACATAGATATCCAGTTTTACCACCACCATTTGTTGATAAGACTGTCTTTTCTACACTGAATGGTCTTGGCAAGCTTGTTGAAAAACCATTAACTATATATATGAGATTTATTTCCGGGCTGTCTATTCTATTCCATCAGTCTGACATGTCTATCCTTATGCCAATACAACACTGTTTTGATTACTGTAACTTTTAAAATAATTAAGTTTTAAAATCTAAAGTACAAGTCTTCCAACTTTTATTTTTCCTTTTCAAGATTCTTTTTGGCCATTCAGACTCCCTTAAAATTCTGGATGAATTTTAGGATGGGTTTTTCTATCTCTGCAAAAAAATGTCTTTGGGATTTTGATAGGGACTGCACTGAATCTGCAAATTGTTTTGGGTAGTACTGTCATCTTAACAATATTAAGTCTTCTACATACAGATGGCCAACAGGCACATGAAAAGATGCTCAACATCAGAGAAATGCAAATCAAAACCACAATAAGATACCACCTTACACCTGTCAGAATGGCTATCATCAAAAAGACCACAAATAACAAATGTTGGCAAGGATGTGGAGAAAAGGGAACTCTTGTACACTGTTGGTGGGAATGTAAATTGGTGCAGCTACTATGGAAAACAGTATGGCAGTTCCTTAAAAAACTAAAAATAGAACTACCATATGATCCAACAATTCTACTCCTGGGTATATATCTAATATAAAAAACACTAATTTGAAAGGATACATGCACAGCAACGGTCATAGCAGCATTATTTACAATAGCCAAGATATGGAAGCAGCCTAAATGTCCATCAACAGATAAATGGATAAAGAAGATGTAGTATATATATATATATATATATATATATATACACACACACACATACACAATGGATTTACTATTCAGCCATAAAAAGCAATGAAACATTGCCATTTGCAACAACATGAATGGACTTGGAATGTATTCTGTTTGGTGAAATAAGTCAGACAGAGAAAGACAAATTCCATATGTTAACACTTATCTGTGGAATCTAAAAAATAAAACAAACTAGTGAATATAACAAGAAAGAAACAGACTCACAGACATAGAAAACAAACCAGTGGTTACCAGTAGGGAGAGGGAAGGGTGAGAGGGGCAGGATAGGGGTAGGGGATTATAAGAGGTACAAACTATTATGTATAAAATAAATAAGCTACAAGGATATATGTACAGTATAGGGAATATAGTCAATATTTTATAATAACTATAAATGGAGTATAATCTTTAAAAGTTGTGAATCACTATGTTGTACACCTGAAACTTATATAATGTTGGTAAATAAACTTTACCTCAACTTAAAAAATTAAAAAAAAAACCCCAAACAACAAAAAGAAACAATATTAAATCTTCTAATCCATGAACATGGGACATCTTTCCATTTTTAGGTCTTCCTTAATTTCTTTCAGGAATGTTTTATAGTTTCCAGTGTATAAGTCTTTCTCTTCTTTCATAAAATTTATTCCTAAGTATTTTATAAATGAAATGGTTTTCTTAATTTCTTTTTGGATTGCTCAATGCTAGTATACTATGTACAATTTTATATTATTCTTTTTCACTTTACCTTACATCATAGTCATTCTTCCTGGTTGTTGAAGTACCTTGATTTATATTTTAATATTTTTAATGGTTACAAAACTGTCTAGTAAGCCAATGTACCACAATGTAATTACATTGTTTATAGTAATAAACATTTAAGATGCTATAAAATTTTGACTAGTATAAATAATGCTATATTGTTTATAGTAGTAAACATTTAGGATGTTATCAATTTTTGACTATTACAAATGATGTTAAAATGAACTTTTGTTGTATTGTAGTTTTTTTCTTAAATTAATATTTTGTTTGTTAAATTTTTTGAGAACAGAAGATGAACTAAGGATAAAGGGGTGTAACTATGTAATTCTCTTGACACATAAGACCAAGGTTCTTTCTAAAGGATTTCATCAATTTATATACCCAATTAACCTTAGGTTTTTTTTATTTTTTTAAATTTGTATTTACTCTTTTTTCCTAACAATAAAATGTAGGCTAGAACAGGATGAAATACAGCACTGTCTATATCAGCAGGTCCCTACTTTGGTACTTAATAAGTTCTCAGAAAAGTTTCTCTAAATTGGATATGCAAAAACTGAACAATCACAACAAAAGTGGTGGATATCTACTAGGAGAGGTGGTGGGGGAGTATTTTATTATGCAGAACAAAAAAATTACAAAATTCCTACTTTATGACCTTAAACTGTTCTTTGATAATAAAAATTCTAGCTTTCTAAAAAATTTATTTTTTTATTGAAGTGTAGTTGATTTACAACATTAGTTTCAGGTGTACAGCAAAGCAATTCAGTTATACATATACATACATATATATTTTCTTTTCAGAAAATTCTAGTTTTTTATATGAAAAATTTTTTCCTCTTTCCTTCATAATCCCTAACAAGTTTAATGGAGGGTAAAGATTTGCTGTTTTTTTAAAACAAGAAATGACTTACATTTCTTTCTTAAATAAACTACTATACTTTTTTTTTTCAAATTAAGATCCAAATATAGCATTTATTTTAGCACTCCAGTTTTTTGGTTTTCTTCTATTGAAAAAAAAATGAGTGACTAGCAGCCTGAAGCTGCAGGTGTGGAGAACAGCAGGATGGGTATAGTGGAAGATGGACAGGAAGGTAGAAAGAGTCAAGGGCAGAAACACTTATTGTGAAAATGGTTGACCATGAGGTCAAGGTGGTTGAGGAGGAAAGTGAAGCCAAGAGGTGGCTGACCAACTGTTGGAGGATACCCGTTTACAGTTTGAGGACTACTTTATAAAAGTTATTGAAACTATTCATCTAAATTATATAAGAAAACTTCCTTATGGTTATAGTAAGTATAGCCCAGGAAAAAAAAAATTCCTCAACAAAAGGAAAAGAATAGTGAAAGAAAAGATTTCTTTTTTTTTTTTGGACACAAGTTATTACAGTGAAAGCAGAACCATAAAGAAAAAAAAATACCATGAATATTTTCTATAGTTTGGGTTTTAGTGTCTTTTTCTTTGCTTTGGTAATCATTCTTTAAAATCTATTCCAATGTCACTGGAATCTTATTACTCTACCAAGTTACTTCATGAACATTCAAATATGCAGCTGGACAAAAATAAAACTGAGTCCTGCTTACCTGTATAACCAGTTTCACTAGTCAATTAAATCAAACAATTGCCTTGACTTTGTTTTCACAGAACTGACCCTAACTGAATAAACTGAACTGACAAGTTGTTTTGTGTTTCGAACTGCAGAATAGTCCGGGGGTGGGGGTGGGGCAGGGTGGGGAAGAACTAAGGGCATTTACAAATTGTAGTCAGCTGCAGTCTCGAATGAGCCAAGTTTAAAACGTA